TCATTGACATTTTCAGATGTGAGCAGTTCACAAAGGCTGTGGCTGAGGAGAGAAGCTGACATTTTCTATCTGTGCAAGTGCTTGGCAATGGCTGAGAAGCAGTGACATTTGCAAAAGTCTTTAGTGGGGGAACTCTTAAGATATTCTGTTATGAGAAAGACAGACAAATTACACATTTATATCTGTTGCAGTGATGTATTCTCAGCGGATACAAGCAAAAAATGACAAAGAGCGGAGCAGCAGGGGGAGAGAACAACAAAGTACAGGAAAAGGTAACAGAAAGAGGGGTGCGAGAGACAGATGAAAAAATGACAGAAGATAAAATAAATACAACTGTCAAGTTGCAATTCTCTAGAGGTGCACGGTATGAAAGCATCTTCAGTCTTTTTCCTCTAAACCTCCCTCAAGTACTGCAGAAATCTCCCTGAAGAATAGAGAGCCTTCTGCAGTTGATCTTGTTTGAAAAAGGTACAACAACACAAATGGACCATATGAAAATAATGACACATCTCCGGGAATCACATTCAAATTCACTTGTTCATGAACAAGATTTTAAAAAGCTAAGCGACATAAAAACAGGCTCAACAATGAGAGTTGATGAATAAACCATATTTCTACTGTACAACAAAGATAAATAATGAACATATTATAATATCTGTGGAAATGTCTAACTGACAATTGCTCATGATCTTTTAAATCCCAAAATAGTTAGCAAGTACCCATTTTTAAATACATTTGCTTCTGTTAAACAAGGCAATGGAATATTTTGCAACATCTGCAGCATTAAAAGAGGGCCAGCAATCCTGTCACTTGATTGACATTGAGTAAAAAAAAAATCCGGCTGGAATGATATTAGACTCAGTGGGGTAGGCTGTGATGGACCAGTGTCTGACAAAAAAAATTACCTCCAATGTGTTCATAAAAGGAAATTCAAGCTGCTCCCACTCTCGCAGCATTGAGTGCAGCCAACTCATGCTTCTTTACAGATCCAAAATCCCTGTAAGACTCACTAACATCTAGCTTTTAAACACATTGCAAAATGTTTCATATTTTTCCAAATCAACATGTACTGCTGTATAAAACAACTCAGCATCAATCCCAGATGGCCATTGGGTCCAGCTCCAGTAGCTATTTATAGGAACGCCACACCTAGATAAGTGTGTTCATTTTTATGTAATGTCTATAAGAAGAGTTTGATGGAAATGATGTGCTGACTGTGTTTCAAGTTGTAGGGCTTTTTTAATTTATTCGAAAGATCATTAAGTATAGTCATGGCTCACCAGCGCAAAAAATAATACTGCTGTTTTGAATGGTAATGATAAAGTCGATAATTAAAGTTTGATATGGAGTGAAATTAAATGTCTCAGAGGAATCATGACACAATCATGACTGTATCATAAGTATAAATGAGACACTTGGTTGTAACAAGAGGCAAGGGATTTCTTTGTGTTTTAAAGAACAGTAAGACCGTTTGACTACATCAACACAAACCATACATATACATCAATCCATGTAGTGCTTATTCCCAGCACAGGAGGCTATCCCAGCAGACATCGGGTGAGAGGCGGGGGACGCCCTGGACAGGTCCCCAGTCCATCTCAGGGCCACACAGATACAATCAACCACTCCTAAGGGCAATTTAGTCTGTTCAATTGACCTAATATGCATGTTTTTAAATGGTCGGAGGATGCCAGAGTACCTGGAGAGAACCCACGCAGGAACAGAGAGAACATGCAAACGCCACACAAAAAGTTCCAGTTCCTTGAGAACTCGAACCGGGAACTGTACAACACAAACCATAAACACTTACATCAACAAAAAAGGCTAAGCTGCAATACAAAAATTGGCACCAGGGCTATGAAGAATGTAGATTTGCGTGATGGTCAGTAGTCACCAGTAGTCATTCAGCCAGTTGACAGTAGATATGACAGTTGTGTGGAACTGATGAGTCCTTTAAGAACCTTACTGAAGAAGAAAATGCTTACTATTAGCCTCAGATGTGACTGCCAGCTCACTCAGAGCTCCGGAGTGTCTACACTTTTACGGAATATGATATTACAATTAGCTCAATTTTCTTTGCATGTTGTACGTCTTGCTGTTACAAACAGGGTTCTTATTTATGAAAGTAGCGAATGCGCAAAATGGAGCCTGAAAATTTCACACCCCACTTTACCCACAAAGGTTGTGATCTATAAAGAAAACTTGATGGTGCAATGTCCCACACGAAGTCTGACCCGTGGTTCCGGCTGTTTTGAAGACAGAAGAAACCACAGACACAGATGGTGTCCAACCCCTAACCCTAACCCCTAACCCCTTCCTGGCCCATGATAGTGACTAGCAACCGGCTTTCAACAGCGCAAATTAGCCAAGAGGTAGCCTATAATCACCAATTAACTTTTAGGAACAACATCATTTTGTAAAATTATCCATAGATCTGGGATATCGAAGCTGGCATCCTGAATGGCTTTGTAAATATGACCGGTCGATACATCAGATTGCCCCACACTGTGGGCGAACAGGCCACCATTAAAAGGCGTTTAGCAACAATACAATTCTCCAAATGTAATCAGCGCAATTATGTGTAATAACGCGTTGCCGCTCCCTTCTTTTTATTTGTCACGCCATTTCTGTGGCTACCAAACAAGCGATTTTTTCAACTCTCCACCTCACACTGCAACACACAGATTTCTGCTTTGGTGAAACTGTGTTTCTGTTTCTCTTTGCTTCCATTCTTAACCTTGAAACAACACTGATCTTTGTTGGCTTTGGGGCATACATACATTTTTAGTGTAGATCCTATGCACAGTTTTAGAAATGACACATAAAATCTAACCCTAACCACACCAGGGAGATAGCTGTACCCTTAGTGTTTAAATATTGCTTTCAGCTAAGGTTTCTACTTCTGGAGTGTACTCATCTTCACTCCTGCTGGTGTTTCTTACTGGGGCCAGAGTAATCGACTGCTCACCAAGTAGCAATTTAAAATCAAGCAACTTCAGAAGTCTTTTCCCCCGAAGCATGGCAGCCAGTCTTATGCTGAAGCCACACATTAGAGATTGCCAGGTCAAAAAAGTGGAAAAAATGCACTCACTGGCCATTTCTGAGTATGAGCTCAGCAGCCATGTCCACACCATCCATGTTGCTGTTGTACTCAGCAACGGACAAAGCTGTTTTCTTTCTTTGACCATCTATTGTGTGTGTCCTGAGGCCCAGTGCCAGGCCAGATGATGCCATGACCACTGGCTTTTAGTCAACAGCGAGTTCAGATGGACTTTGTGTGACCACCATCTCCTTTGGAGATTTCTTTTAAATGCCCTTAAGCCCTGTGATGTTGCACTCCTTTGGAACTCTGTTGGTCATAAGGATTCTGGTTCCACTTTTTCTTAAATGCCTCATTCCTCTGTGACAGTAAAGGTGGTCTTGGCTTGGTAGTGTGTTTGGATTTGTTCCAGACAGGTGGATTCCACTTTGATTTGTGCGCAGAGACATTTCAGTGGAGTTGATGTACTGTTCAAAATCCTTAATTGGCATGTGATGGTATCATAGTTGTGAATGATAGGCAGAGCAACCACGTGGGAGTTGAAACTAAAGAAATGCAAGGGAGGGAAAAAAAGGTTAGTTTTATTGTAATTTGAGAAAAATGTTTATCATGATTTAGGAATAATTCATTTTTGTGACATGAATTATTATCAAATGAATTATACTTAAATAAAGGATTTATATTAGGTAAGTAGTACCCAATAAGTGTAGAATGGATTCGGTTTGAAAATAGAGAATGTGTGTATCTTGTCGTAGAAATGGATAGTTTTCTTGATCTGACTCTTCAGCCTCTGATTGTCATGTCTGAATTTATTCGTCTGCATCCCTTTGCTTTTCCAATTTACAGAGTAAAATGGTAAACTCTTATAGGTATACCTGTGTATACCTGTGTATACATGTGGACCTCATGTTATCACACACACATATATATATATATATATACAATATTTTGAGGCAAAAGACAATTAAAATAAAATTCAATTTTCCTTATTCTTCCCATTAAATGTGCCTGTGGCAATGGCCAGCATTTTCTTTGATGAGAAACAGGAAGTTCCCAAAGCTTTCACCTCTACATGCTTGGTATCATAATAAAGTCCTACGTGTCACAGGTAGACAGGAGCTTGTGCACAAATATATCCTGTTTTGTCTTTAGCCTACAGTTTGGAAAAGTCCAGTAAAACTCTTGTCAGCATGCTCGATGTTTCAAAAAAGAAGGGAAGGGCAGAGAGTTTAGCACAAAACATATATTCAAAATTGTACATTTTCAATATGATTGTGTTTAATGTGTTTTTATTTGATAGTTGGAGTATAAACACACACACATGTTATGTTCCTGCCTTCTAATCAACTAATGTGTCCAGACATAACACAGAATGGTCAGAATTTATCGGAATTTATCGGTGCAATCGCACTCTCTAACAGTATCTCTAAATCATAGTTTTTACTGGGTAGTCTGGTGCAGAATTTAGATTGCCTTATTGATGCAATAGAACTGATGTATGTACTAATCTGAGGGGGGCCATGGTGGTGTTGTTTTGAACAGGACATTGTGAGCAATCCCCTTTAGCTTTACAGATATTTTTCGTCAAAAGGGCAGAACTCCTCTTTCCCTTTTATAATTTCAGACATTATATATGCGGCAGTTAGACACCCCTCATTGCCTTTGCATGATTCCACATCGCCTCCATCTGGTCCCTTCCTGCTCCCCCCTAATTGCCCCATTCCCCACGCTGCAGTAAAGCCTCGGCTGTGATAAAGATGGAACATGCTCTCAGAACTCGTCATGGTACGCTTGCCGTTCTGCAGCGCTGATATTTTGACACCGATCACCATCAAACTGTCAGCGACGTACAAGGGGCCGAGGTACTGTGGGAGGACGGAGTTGTCGTGGGACGCAAATGTGGTTTTCCTCACAAATGATTCTTTTGGTATGGTATTTTTCTCGGCGAGAGACAATGGAGATGGATGTTCTCGGGCGTTTGCAGTCTGAGCCCCTGCAGAACACGGTGCTAAGTAATAGCACAATGAGGTATTCAGTTACTGTCATTATTCACTTCATGGAGCTGGATCAAAATGCTGTGTTACAGGGTTTGCAGGAGAACAGAAGTCACTTTTACATTTAACGTTATCACACCAGTACGGCAACAAGAACATGAATAATGTTCTTTGTTGCCTCTTTTAAATAATCAAAAAGGTTTGTGTGTAATCATATCTGGCATTGGATTGGTAAAGGAAATGTGGCTTGATATTTTATTGAGCAAGATCATACTGTAGGCATTTCGGGGACCAATTGTGGCGGTCGGTTTTGGTTTGAGCAATGTGTTTCCAAACCACGACGCCTTGACAACGTCTGGTGACAATTCAGAGAAATTCCCTACATCAGTGACTGGGTAGTGATAGTGATACTGGCCTTCTGAGCCACCAGTGTGTTCATACCTGTAATTTAATTATACTTTTGTTGTTGTCTGACTCATTTTATGCCATCAAGATCCTTTTACCATCCCAACATCCAGCTTCAGGCTCTGGGTCAAAAGAACTAAAACAAAGACATTAAGATAATCATTCCACAGGAAGGATATGGTAGGTGATACAAGGATACATATGTAAATACAAATATGTCTAAATTCATATGGTCTAGCTTCGTATCCAGGGTGTACCCTGCCTTTAAATCAATGACAGCTGGAAGAGGCTCCAGGCCTCCCTCGTGAGCCTATTTGGAGTCAGTGGTATAGACAATGGATTGATGGCTAAATGAAACTGACAGAAATTTGCTGTCAATTGCACCAAAGCTATCTACTGTGTGCAGGTCCAATGAAAACTAAACTACAGGATCATGCATGGGATCATGGCTTGTTCCATCATTCTTCTCGTAAGAGTGTGTTTTTCTATTCAGAATCATGAATAAATCCCAATGACATTGATCCCAGTCATCAATTGTATGGTTTTAACATTAAGAAGTCTTTGTAATTTACAAACGTATGCCTTATAGTTTCTGCCGATGATGTCCCTTTTATACGTTGCATTCCTCATTTATATATTCCTCTTGTTCATTTTTGTCTTTCACACTGCTCGTACAAAGGGATGCATCAAAAAGCCACTTTGCAACTGTAGCAACAGAAGTTTACTTTGTCCAACTCTTCTATTTTTACATGCACCTGAAGAGAAAATTAAAAAAAAAAAAAAACTGTAACCAAAAGAAAACTTTGCACCAGTTGTTGTGAAGCAGATGCAGCTCTTGTGAAAAACAAAGCATCAGTATTATTCAGGAAACATTTGGACCTGCAGCCATATGCTCAAAT